ATTTTCTCTGTATATTGTCTTCTGTCTATTACAACTCTCGCTCCTTCTTTGTCCGCCTGAAGGACCAATTTTTCATTCCTTTCTAGGGTTCCTCGTATCCTCGCAATTCTGTTCTTGTGCATTGATTCATAATGTTTCAAAATTCCAGGGATTATTTCCATATCCATTTCCCGTTTTGTCTACCGAGGGAACTTGTTGGAGATATTAATGAAAGTCACCAGGATATCTTATAGAAGCTTTCTGTCACTTTGAAGAGAAAATGTTAGTCCTTTCTATAGGATCGTAGTGGTTTCAGGATCAAGGGGAACCAAGAATAAATTCACCAGCTTGTTCCGTTCGTCGTAGTGATCAGTAGGTGTCATCACCTTGGAAGCACTTTCGACTGGGCGCACTGGCTTTAATATACGTGGTCTTATAATTCCAAACATAATCAATTTGTAGTCGTGTTATTTTGTCATTAAGTCAGAGATACTACGTGATTTCTTGTCGGCCAAATTTTGGAGTTTGTGAAAATCCTGGACAAATCACGCCGGTGCTTTGACTGAATATCTATAAATTTAAATAGATTATTCCTTTCCATATCATAGGTTTCATTTAACTTATACAAGGAAGCCTGGTAAAGAATCTCATTAACCCTATCTGAATGGAAGTGTCTCTTAAACTCACGAAACATTCCTCGGTAATGGATATCCGAGCGAAGTAATTCAAAGAAACTTCCTGGCCGTGAAGAGCCGATGACAGGACGGAGATTATGAAATAAAGATAAAGATGGGGAAAAGACTAACAAAAGTGGATATGTCTTCCTTCGTATAAAATAGCTCAAAAACGATGGCGAATATTATTAAAATGGAATATTCAGGTGACCATAAGGAGAAAACAACACTCTTCACAAGTCTACCTGTGTACGTGCTACTGAAGACATGAGAAATAGCACTTGGAGTAAAAATACGCTGTAGCTTGAACCGAGTGAAATCGGTCAGCCAGAAACGGACCTGCGGGCCCATGAGGCAGAAACGGACAGGAGATTAGAGCAGGATCAGCCATTGGAAATGAAGCGGAGCAAGGCAAAGAGCAGATGTGATGATGCCACGGTAAACTCGCCAAAAGGACACATCTCTTCTGCAATATAAACATGTCAGAAGTTGTGATATGACGAGAGCGAGACAAGCGGGTTGGAAATGGATAGAGGCATCAGGACAAATTGAGGAGTGATAGCATTACCGTCTTGAAATAAACTTGGTCAATGGATTGAATTTGCTTGTCTATTTGGCGAGTTTTAGATTGGTTTCTGAGACTGGCATGACAAACTGACGATGCCGACTACAATGCCGGCGAAATGTCTGGGAATGCAGTAAGTCCACGGTCAGATTCTTGAAATAATCATGCATATTATGGACACCGGACAAGGTACGTTTCTCTTGGTCCTCCTTTCAATATGATCAAGTTGCGAAAACAAGGTAAAACAACTACTTAAATTAATCAAATGAATTTCAGAGTTAATAACTTTGTGGAGCTTAGTAGCACTCGTCATAATGTCTTGATTTGGAAAAGATAGGGTCTACAAAAGGGTTCAGTTGGCAATCTTCTTAGCAGAATCTGTATTAAGGCCTAAATGTAGTTACAAGCCCCCGAGTGATCATGTAGTGTATTACTTTAGAATATAGATTTGCTTTCAATAAACGCAAGTTCTAGACCTATTCCCTCGCTGTGATAAAATTGAGTAAATCTCTTTTTTAATTCCCACTAAGCGCCATATTACCCTCGCTTATCCGGCCCTGTATTTCCTACAAAACTCTTAAAAATCTTTTTTAGTAACAAACCGAATCCCTCAGGTCGTTCAATTTGGTGCGACGAAACTGAGTGATGTATTTCACAAAATCAAATTGGAGTTGATATGAGACTCTGGTGAAGTCGAAACTTTGGACCAGCCTAGAAATCCTTTTATAGGTAATAAATACTAGGGCTTTCTTCTCATTCCATTATGCAAAATTTATACCCTTGCTTGCACCACCTTAAGCAACCTAGAGTGAATCGGGCTCTGATTCCAGAAGTAAAGATGCTTTTGGAACCTACACAAACGCTATATTTTTTATTCCATTCCTAGTAATAAAGGATAGTCCATAAAAAGCCAATATGGATCTCTAATTAATATCGTGATTTTATGCAATAATAAATGCTTTGTGTGAGGGTATCGCTACTCTCTGGGACAGCAGCTCTTTCCAGAACGAGTGGTTGTATGATAATTCTAGGGTCTGAGAGCATAAAACTTTTGTAAAGCACCAATAACTTTTCATCCTACAGCAGAGTTTGAAATGAAGGGATGTGTAAATGCGTCCCGTCATAGGGCTTTGATAAGTCCTTATTTACATTTCACTGGTGTCAGTTCTTTCTCTAGTTTGCCAATGCTCTAAGTATTATCATATAACCTGGACATTCCTGAGGCATAGAGTCATCTCTATAATAAATTCCCAATTAACATAGTTTAAGGGGTACATTCTGAACTGAATTCTTACTTTATACCTGGTTAAGGAATTTGGATCTAGACAACGTCTGCTACATCTTTTTTTAAGTATAACCTTTCAATGTGTATGAGTTGGAATCTAATGCATTGTGAAAGAGATAAAATCAGATATCACCATCTCTATTTTCTTGACAGATGTACGAATTCAATAATTATAACAATCTAAATCCACACACTTGTACCCGCCATTTAATTTTAATGATATTTATAAAGAGAAAAAATTCAAGTAAATTGGTATGTTCGATTAGTGTTAAGACGAATTTGATTAAGGTTTAGCCTTGTGGTATAAAAAATCAATAAAAAATAATCGATAAAATAAGCTGTTTAGTAAAAATAGGTAACAAATATAAGAAAGAGGCAAAGTTACGTAAGTCGGATCCTTTTTGAGATGATTAATGATCGAGTAGCGACTGTAAGCCCCGTGCTGTAGGCAAAAAGGGGAGATAAAATATAGTATATGAGCCAAAAGTATATTATAAACTGTCCTTCGCATGGCTTTCAGTAACCAATATGTAAATAATTTCGACTTATTTTAATCCATATCTACTCTTTCTCCTCACCATCCACTTTATGAACCAGGAGGCAGTAGGATCAAAGAGGCTGATCAGAGCAATAGGAGTCAGACGCCGCAGTTTAACTGGCAGGAGGGCAGAACCAGTCCTGTATAATTCCTCAGGAAGTTGGTGTGAAGGAGGAGAGGTAGAGAGAGGACTTGGAGACCGGTGACTAGAGCTTGACTCGGAGGAGGGGGCAAGATCGCCCATACGAGTAGTCGAGTCCAGTGGACCTTCCAGAACACCCGGTCGACTCGTGTTCAGCCCAATGATCAGCACACTTAGACAGCGTGTGACTATGTCTGTGAGAAATCTGATGCAAATGAAAACCAATATGTATGTGAAAATGACTGAACTAGTTACCACATTAAAGGTAGACGATCCTTAGGAGAAATCTTTTACAAGATTTTGAGTATTTTAAATTGAGTTCATGTTTAAGGAAAAATAAATCACAAATAGAACGCCATTCCCACTACAATATAACGACAAATCGGCCAAATTAAGCATTTATGAAATGATGCTGGTTTCTCAATGGATAATAATACCTTTCTGGGAAGTTAAGCTATTTCGAATTCATTGGTAACATAAACCCTATTCATATCATTTTGGCAAAAATGTAAATATCCAGAGTAATTGGGTTTCGATCAATCTCCCAAGATAAGATTGCTGTAGAGACTTTTATTTCGCATGAAAGTACATGAAGAAGAGATTCGAAGGTCGATCTCACAAGAAGAGAACGGCTGACTTCCATTGTAGTGCATTAGTTTGGCTTTAATACGACAATTAGGTGGACGCATTCCACGAGATATCCTCCCTCGTTTCGGATGAAAACGAGTTGAGCTTTCGTCCATCATATGATGGACATCGTCAGAGCTGGAACTCATCCTTGTAAAAGTCTCCCGGTAACACTAAGCCAAGAAGAATGTTCAGCTCTATCTTGCCTCTTATATGTACTCATAACTAAAAAATGAAAATGACTCGGCAGAGATAGATATAGAACGGTTTGGCTAAATATATTTCCTATTAGTATAGCTAGTCTTGTTTGAGTTTGTGTGTGTAAATCATATATATATAAGTTGTGTTCATCCAATTTCGTTTAGGTTGATAAGGGACTGGTAGTTGAATTTTCCCACAACGTGTCCATTTACTTTCACATAAACTTGCTTTCCAAAAAAGGTGATCTCATCCAGGTTGAAACCTCAGTCCATCCTGGATCAGGACTCCTTTTAGGAAAACAAGCTACAAGTTCATTAAAGAGACAAGTGAAGTTAATCCCTCGATCAATGCTCTGCCAAAATGCTTACATTATCACTCCTCTTTCTATCCTGGCCAATCTATTCATTCGTACCCCATTTAGGGCCCCTTTTTTTCAAATTCAGTGTGCAAATAAAAGTTGGGTTTCGAGAAATCTCTTGTTTCATAATTGTTGTGCTTACTTCCATTTCAAGCGAAAGTGTTTGATGAAGAGATTCGAAAGTCGATTCCACCAGAAAACGATGGCGGATCCCTCTTGACCAGCTGTCGATTAACTTTACTCAAAGATTCATGCTGATGCTGTTTCTAAAGTAATCTACTTCAATTCCGGTAAAAAGGTGCTAAGCTTTCGTGCACATATGACGAAGATCATCAGAGCAAGGTATCATCGTCACAAATATATTCAAGCTAACAAGTCAAGAAAACTCACCGGCAAATCCCTAAAAAGTGGTATATATACTCTACATCTGG